TGGATTCAATTTAACTCCCTGAAAGTCATGCACAATTAACCATTACAAGTCTTCTTCTTCTTAGCATCCACCTGCTGTAAACATCAGCGGAAAGTTCTGGTTGTTCGCCAACTACTGAACTTTGGTCTTGATTCAGAACTTCAGTTTTGCATGCACATCCATTTTACAGATCCGGCTTATTTCTATGCAGACTGTTGGCTGATGCAGTCTGACCTTAAAGGAAACACCCCTAAAACATACTTGTTTGTGGGGTGGGGCAGTGGGTTTGTTCTTTCTATTCCAAAATGGGACCCATAAACCCAACTAAAGAGTCCCATTTTGAGTCAGTTTTTGTTTCTCAACTTGTTAATGCACACTTGATACTTGCAGCTACAGCTAGGCAATAGGCTAGCATTATTACATTCTTCCAGACCACTTACTGCTATCGGAACCCTATTTCTGACGCAGGCTGACCATTGCCTGGCACAACAAGATAGTGTTTGCAAATCTTTGCCAACTTTACAAGATTAAAATAAAAATCAGTCTGTCTTTTAGTTTCTCTACACTTTAGACAGAAGAGGAAGACAACAATTATAACAGACAGACAAGACATTAATGTCAGTATGCAGAAGTATTTATATTTAAAGATCTGATGGGTGTTATATGTTAAAATGTTCATAACACTGACAAAAACCAAATCTGAATTCATATTATGAATCATCTTTAAAGCAATTCAGTCAACAAACCTGGAATATGGATTTAAGAAACAAAACACGACAGCATTCAATATCGTGTATGCAGTGAACAGAAAGCTAACAACATTTAACGAACTTAAATTCTCTGCACTGATTTTGAAGAATAATGACACAATTTCTATTTATAATAGGCTACAAGAATCGTATTTGGAATATTAACTTAATTGGCAACCAGCTACAAGAAAGGTAAATGAAATATTTGGCTCCGTAAAAACTAGGTATATGAATGGTATCCGTAATACTAGGAGGTTCAATGGCATTACAGCTATAAGAATGGTATCCATAATACTAGGAGGTTCAATGGCACACCAGCTATAAGAATGGTATCCATAATACTAGGAGGTTCAATGGCATTACAGCTTTAAGAATGGTATAATAATACTAGGAGAGTCAATGACATTCCAGCTATAAGAATGGTATCCATAATACTGGGAGATTAAATGGCATTACAGCTTTAAGAATGGTATCCATAATACTAGTAGGTTCAATGACATACCAGCTATAAGAATGGTATCCATATTACTAGGAGGTTCAATGGCATTACAGATGGAAAAATTGTATCCAGAATACAAAGTTCAATGTCAACCAGCTACAAGAATGGTATCTAAAATACTTGAGTCAGTGAAAACCAACGTTATCCATAATACTGGGCTCAATGGCAATATATCTGGAAGAATAATTTTCAGAATATCAGGTTCAATGACAATATATCTGGAAGAATGATATCCATAATACCAGGTTCAATGGCAATATAGCTGAAAAAATGGTATTCAGAATAACAGGTTTATAGCAACAAAGCTAGACTAATGGTATTTATAATGCCAGGTTCAAGAACAACCAGCTAAAAGAATGGTGTTCATAATATGAGGTTCACATACAACTAATTCAAAGAATGGTATCCATAACACAGGTTCATTGACAACATAATGAGAAGAATGGTATCCACAATGCAGGTGCATTGAAGATTGCTAATCACAACACTATCAGAGAAATGCTTATCAGAGCCAGATAACTGTTATGAGTAGTTAATGGTGCTGAGCCTGAGTTCTGGTGCTTGAGTGCATTTAGACATAAAACATTGGCAATGCTGGCTGCAACAACAAAACAAAGGTAAGATGGGAGAGAAAAAAAAACACTCAACGGGCTTGGGATTTAATGTAAGTTTAGACTTCTAGTCTGCCAAGGAAAACACCAATGTATTTGGTGAGGGAACCAGTGAACTTACACACCATGCAAAAAACAATGAGAAAAACAACATATTTGTTATATGCCAAATAACAGTTTAAATGTTAAAATGTTAAAATGTAAAAGTCACTACTGAAATTATGTCATATGTCCTACACTGAAGACTATGTTGTTTACTGAAAACTCAGTTTAATATTACTTAAACTGTGAAAATATTGTCATTAATATATAATATGCTGAATGGCAAAGGTTTAAAAAAAAAAAAAAAAAACATTTTCACCAGCAAAACAACAGTCTTCTGCAAGTTTGATGTCTGATTTGCTGATCACTTTCTGTACAACTTCATCCAGCAATATCTTCTTCTGGTTCTTCTAAGACCTTAAGCTTCCAAGTTATTACAACCTTTTTCAGATGCTGTTGCCTCATAATGTGACCATAATAAGCGGTTGTCTTCTTCTCACAACAATCAAATACCTTTGGGAATTAATCTACTGTTGAACTGGGTTACAGGTCTTCTTCTCCCTATGAGTTTAGTTTATGTTAAAACCAGATCTCTGTGGCCTCCATTTTATTTCCAAGCTGTTTTAAGTGTTGATGATTCACAGATTAACAGTAGTTGTAAACATAAATCTGTTTCCACTAGCAGCCTGACCTGTATGGGAAAGCATCTGCTAGACAGAGAATTCTTCTACTGATGAAATGCTTTCTTTGCTTGGTTGATTCTTTAAATGATCAAACTACACTTCAATCAGTTGTTACTACTGACCCTAGACAACTTTGTATCCAAATTATGTTATTGGTTTTTTTCAACAGCTTTAATTCTACTCTCTGGTTATTTTGCTTTTTTTTTTTTTTTTCATGAACATACCTTGTGTTTCTCTGCTGTTTTGTTCTTTCTTTTGACAATAAAATATATTGAACGTTTATGCAACAATTTACAAATGACAATTACAGGGGAAACTCAGTTGATTTTTCAATGTGCAATCGACATAGACATCAAGGAAAAATCCAGCACATAAAACAAAGCCAAGAAAAGTGCCAAACTAAAGAAGCATTTTTTTAAATTGTTTGACATTGTAACTAAAAGTAAAATTGGAGAAATTGTTTTTAAAAGGGGAAAAACTACACACAAAAGGAAACTTACTGCACTGAAAACAAGAAACTGTCTACACTGAATTAAAATGAAATCAAAAAGAAGGTAACATTCTGAAGACATTAAAAAAAACACTTTAAAATGGCAAAACAATAGGAACATCAAAGCAGGGCCGAATGCAAAATTTAAAATAAACCTACACAAAGCATGTACTCCAACAAAAGACTAAAACACACCGCATAAACAAACACCAAATTAATTTAAAGAAAGCAATTGCAAATAAAACACGAAGACACTTGAAAGAATACCAACCTGTCTCTATGTTACAGAACTGCTAGATCACTTAGACAAGGAAGATAGTTTAAAGCAGATTCAGTTAATAACTTCCCCAAAATCTCACATCTGTCACAGGAGAGTAGTGACCAATTACCAGGAAAACAGTTCTCAATGATCAAACAAGCTTTGGGTGCAAATATCTTCCTATCTACCTCTATATTCCTCCAAGTTAAACAGTTTCTAGCAAATAAAAAATTATTACCCAGCAAGCGGGGTGTGGTTATTTCCTGCAAGCAATAGACAATTATTAGCCCTTGTTGGAACTCTCTTCCGAACAATAACATCTTCTTTGTTCTCAGTATTACCCTAGTAGGCATTCGACTCTTTTCAGCAGGCTAAAGTGAGGTTACATTTTCATTAATCTAACTGCTTTTGTATTTATGAACTTTAGTACTGAGCAATGTTTAAATTTATTTTATGCAATTCCATTAAAGTATAATATGCCTATTTGAGGATGATTTTTTCAAGGGAATGGATTAATCATTTCCCTTTATTTCTTATGAGAAAATTTGTTTGGTTTATGTCCTGTTTGATCGAGTCCAAGAATTCAGAACGGATTAAGGATGTATACTGAGGTACCACGCTGTACCTTGTCATATGCCAGCTTCTGTTGTTCTAAGCAAACTGGCCTTTTCTTTAGGATATAACTATTCAGATGAAAGAAAATCAGACCTAAACTAAAACTGGTAATAGTGTAAGATGAGAGGTAAGTAAGGACCCTTTTCACACAAGTGACACATTGGGTATCCAATACTAGACTCATATTTTATAGACCTACAGGCACTCGATGAATGATGTGGTCTACATCACACAGGCTGCCTTTACTTCCCATGACTTTACCTGGCGCACAGTTTAGGCTGGGTTGACTTGGGAGCCAGGATGATTTTGAAACAATCTGACTCAATGTGGATCTGAACCCAAGATGTTCAGGCCCTCCAGGTGAGCATCTAGCTGCTACACCACCAGTTTCCAAAATGAGAGGCAACTTCACCTAAATATGGAATTTTTTACAGCAGGAGTCTTCTGTTTGTTCAAATCAGACTTTTATAGACAGACAAAGATCATTTTTCCATCTTATGGTTTGGCTGATAAATCCTCAACTGTGGTATTCTAAAGAAAAAGAATAATATCTACCTGTTGGCCAGCGGCCATTGTTAATTTGCCACTTTTCTTTTTTATCCAATCTGTTCATTTCAATTTCTATTCCCCTAAGCCTTTCTGCCTGTCAGAGCTGGACATCCGAGTGGTGCTGTCAATGCTTTTTGTAATGAAACATCATTTAATTCTTGCATCTGCTACACAGACTGTTAAATGTATTCCCTTCATAATGTTCTATATAATTTGATACTTTTTTTTTTTAATTGGGAAGGGGGGATGGGTGGGGCAATATAAAAAAACGTACTTTAGTTATCACATTCGTTTGCCGTTTTATTTAGTTTTCACATTTGTTTGCCATTTTATGCTGAATATTTTGAGACAGTGAACGAAACTGTTTGCGAATGGAAAGATTTTTGAATCTTCAATTACTTGAAGGAATTCTATAATTAATATAAAACTATTCATATAAATGTAGTGAGAAAGTGATTTGCTACAACTAAACACAAGAACTTACACAAGAAAACAACAGCAACAGATGAGGGAAAGGCTCAGGACTACAGCAAAATACAGCTACAACATCCAGTGCCAGTGGAAGGTGATGCAGAGACCGCCTCCCCAGTCTTCTCACTCTGTACTTCTTTTCCAGCCGAATGACTGTGGGGTGCAGAGGTGAGGGTGGAAGGTGGGGCAGACGAGTCTGCATACACAAGACCATCATGCTCAGCAAGCAAAACAACACCCTTGGGAGTTCCGTTGCTGTCTCCACAACCACCCAACTGTCCAGCCTCGGCAGCCGCACCAGCGGATCTATCCAAACCCACCTGGAAGCCCTTATTTACATTCAATTTAGCAGCAGATGTGTCAATCTGTAATTCAACATGGCTGTTTCGTTCATTCAACAACAGAGAGTTGGCGTTATTATTAGTCTCAAGACTACCAGTCTGAACCACTTTCTCCTCAACATCACCTGAAGCTACACCTGCCGGTCTACCTGAGCTCACAGATGGAAGACTGCTAATGCTAACATTTTCACCCTCCTCCAAAGTGAAGTCCTCAGAGGATGAGCTGTGGTGACGACTTAAGGGTCGCTTAGGCCACTGAAGAAGAACCTTTTCCATTGTTCGAACTTGTTTGGCCACTTCTTGGAAGGACCTGTTTCTAGTAACTGTTGACTGCGAAGGAGACAACTTGTCCTCTCTACCTCTTTCTCCAGATTTATCAGATTCTTTTCTGTTCTTTATGCTTTCTTTAAACTCTGGGATAAGTGCATGCTCCCTCTCAAACACAGCATAATCATGAATGTTTACAGATGACAGATCCACATCAGCAACACTGAAATCCACATGCTTAATCAATTCCCCATTTATGGATAAGGTTCGCTTGCGGTCGAGGGGGGACAGTGGTTTGCTTGTGGACAACTCTGGCAACAACTGCTTCTGTTGCTGACTGTTACCTTTTCCTGGCTTTATGTGGACAAACAAATAAGCTGGCTGCAATGACAAAAACAAACAAGCATATTATGTTTATGTGAGTAGATTAACATGGAATCATGTCATAAACAAGATATAGTTAGTAACTCTGACAATCTCAAAATGTTGTGGCAGCAGATGGCTAAGGGAAGAAAAATAAACTAAGATCTCCATTGCGAAGAAGCTATGCCATTTGTCTTGTTCACTAAGAAAAAGGGTTCAATTTCAGCCTGTGTTTGCTTGATCAAAAGTGCCATTTTTTTTTCCAGAGAATTATGGGGACTGTCACTGGAGCTGTGAAGTTTGAGTTTTATGGGACACTTCTAGCAGGTGGCCAGACACAGTGTAGAAAAAAAAATCAAATCTATGTGGGGAAAAAGCTGCTGCAATGAAGTAAATCCCGCCCCTCTAAAAAACAATTAAACTGCTATGAAAAAAACCACATGTGCAGTACTTGCAAACAAGTTAAATACATAGTGTTATATGCCACAACAGTGTTCAAGGTTGTTTTTAATTATTCTCTGACCAAAGATTTAAAAAAATAGCATATATTACTTCATGTTTGAGATTTAAGTTTAAAATGTGAGGTAGCCAGTCTTGTGTCAACTCTCTTTACTCATTTCTTATGAAATTCATGGTAAATTACTGCTACATCTTTGCTTTTTTTTTTAATCCATAGCAAAATATCATCCTGGTTACCCATTTCATCAGACTGGGTAGACTAAACAGATTCAGGATGAGTGGTTTGGAAAATAATAATTATTGTGTTATGATATCACAATCAACATCACTGCACTCTGGGCAGTTCCATGTGCTCAGGTCGCTGATACAACAGCCACTGCAAGATACTTCTATTGATTGTTCTCTCTCTTGAGGTCCCGAAGGAGGCATAGATGTACTTCACCATGCTGTATTCCCTGTCAAGCAATCCTGTTAGTGTCAGAGGATCGTCAGTGGCCACTAACCCAATCAGCACAACATCAGTGATATCTACTCTGCCGATGCATCTTCCCACATGCCTTGTAGTAATGCTTGTCAGCTGGTCCGCTCGTTTGTTACTTTTCATGATAGCATGGCCAGATGTATAGATCTAGATGAGGGAGGTTAAGTGCGATTTCCAAATACTTTCTATCCATTTAGAGCATATGTTGTGATTTTCTGAAGCATGCTTAAGGAGTCTGAGACAATTACTGCAGGTAACTACTTGTTCTGCTGCCCGTACTAGTGCTCTGGAAGCATATTTTACTCACGTAGGCAACAAATAATTAATATGTGTACAGGGTTGGTAAGCTTTGCAAAAGATAACTTTTTTTTTACATTTGAGAACTATCCTAAAGGCTGCAGTCTCTTCTTAGAGTGGACCCTATTAGCATCTCAAGACAGAGCATTAACTTTCTAGCACTGACAAACATCACAATGTATTCGTGAATCAGACTTGAGGTTCAGGTATGCAGAACCACGCATAGCGATGTATCAGGGACAGGGATTCAGACTTGGCTACACCACTTTGTGGTCATCCTCCAAACATGTTTCCTACATGTAGACAGGATTGCTGTTTCCCTGGAAGTCAGAGTTCATCTGCCTGAGATGCAAGGAATCAACTTAAAAAAGCCAGATCCAGATCTGTAAAATAGAGGTGCTTGCAACACTCAAGTCCTGGAACACGTAAAGTCCAGAAGTGGATGGACAATAGCCAGTGAACACAAAGAAGAAGAAGATGACGACAAGAAAGAAGAAAAGTCAGAGAAGGAGGATGAGGAAGAAGAATCAGGCTTGCTATATATATTCTACAAATTCTATAGGAAGGTTTCCTGATTTTAAAATGGTGCCTGAACAATGTGTCTATTTATCCTGCTTTTTTTTTTTTTTTTTTTTTTAAATCCAACTCCTAAAATATATCACATGAGCAAAATTTACCTCAAACTGTAACCAAAAAAATCCTAAAATTACACACAACTATGCCAAATCTGTTAAACAGATGTGCACGCAACACTCAGATTCTAGAAGAAGACTTAAGTCCAGAGGTGGACAAACAACCAGAACTTTCTGCCGGAGTTTACAACTGGTGAAAGTGAAGAAGAAGAAGAAGAAGAAGAAGAAGAAGTAAAAACATTCACAAAGTGATTTGTACCTTGCCTACCAAAGTTAAATATGGCCATCTCTCCTCCAACTCTACCTATGCTCAAAAAATAGAATTAAACCTATAACAGTTTGACATAAGAAGAAAAAGAATTAAGATACAAGAAAAAGATCCAATGCTGCCTCAGACAGAATTCAAACATGACCACAAAGCCTGACAGGCAAGGGTGCTATTTACTGCATAACCACAGCAGTCATACCTTTATGTAAACAATATAAATACCTTTTTTTAATATGTCAGTGTCATTACAATTGTTGAAACTAAAATTCTCCTGTGGGTTCTTGGACCCCATTGTGGGGGATCAACAAAAACAACAAAAAAACAAAGAATAGACCCACTTCCCCCTAACCATACAAGTCAACGAATTAGGGATGCTTCCTTCAAAGTTGCAGTTCATCTGCTTGAAAAGCGAGGAACCAACAGTCTGCATACAAATCAGCCAGATCTGTTAAATGGATGTGCATCCAAAACTCAGGTTCTGAACAAAACTGAAGTTCAGAAGTGGGCGACAAACCAGAACTTTCTGACACAGCTTACAGAAAACGAACAGTTGAAACCAATAATATTTTAACGTCTAGAATATAGCTGGGGCATCATCATGGCTAGGTGATTAAGCTCGTGAGTTCTTTTAATGGACTGCTTTGTTTTGTTGATGAATATGGGAAGAGACTAGCTGTCTACAAAGAAAATTGAGCTAAATGTATCAAACCCAGCCCAATAAGTTAAATACTCTCGACTACATATGTTCAAACATGTAAAACCTAACTGGCAGGTAAGGAATATAACCTAAAAGTGCATCTGCATGTAGAGTCAGTTTGTGTAATTATATTAGGACAACATTTATGTCTTCTTTTTTTTAAATTCTAAGCACGGTGAAAAAGAAAGCATATGGAGAAAACAGCAAACATGACAAACCTTGTGGTCTCCCATACATACATCCTTGCCCATTAGGTCATAAACTATGGGATGGCTCGGATCCTGGAGACAATGGGAAATATATAAAATAAACACATTCAGAGTAGATGAAAACATATTCACAAACAATCTACAATAAAACCCACTTATTAAAAGACAGACCCACTCATCAAATAGAATCAATTATAACTGAATATCTCTAGCACAATATAATCTGCTCTCAGTCTATGATCTACATTCACAATTTTGTAAAATATATGCAATTACACAAGATTTAATCAAAACCAATTTTCTATCAAGCAACAAAAGAAAAACATATATCTCTTCTTCATCTTTTCAGTGTTCACCGGCTTAGACTCTAGTGGGAAATCCTGGTTTTTCAGCCACTTCTGGATTATTGTCCCAGAACTTGAGTTTTGCATGCACATCTAGAGAGGCTTGCTAGAGAGGCAGTGGGTCTATTCTTATTATCCCCTACATTGGGGCCCCAGAACCCACACATGTATCAGAATTAGCTGTGACCTACTACATCAAAGAATATGTTATATGGAATCAAGACTTTATCTGTAGAAATTGACAATCAAGTCCCACCTCAATTAATATATCTCTGGCTGTATGGGTCAGCAGCACCCGGTCACACCATGAAGGGACACGAGTCTTCATGTAGGAGATGCCATCTGCCACATCCTCGCAGAACGGATAGCTTCAGAAATAAATTTTAAAAAACTAAAAACAACAGTATGAGTACCAACACATCAGCAGCTGTTTGGTATACAATTTTAAAACATGGGAGCAGAAGTGGTGTAGTGGCTTGACACACGCCTGTCAGCCTGAACATTGTGAGTTCAATCCTGCACTAAGCGGATGTGGAAAACGTTACCTTGGCTCCCAAGTCACCACAGGGAGGTTAGGAGTGTCCAGCATGATGTAGACAAGTGTCCAGCATGATGTAGACAAGTGTCCAGCATGATGTAGACAAGTGTCCAGCATGATGTAGACAAGCGTCCAGCATGATATAGACAAGCGTCCAGCATGATGTAGACAAGTGTCCAGCATGATGTAGACAAGTGTCCAGCATGATATAGACAAGCGTCCAGCATGATATAGACAAGTGTCCAGCATGATGTAGACAAGTGTCCAGCATGATGTAGACAAGTGTCAAGCCTGATGTAGACAAGTGTCCAGCATGATGTAGACAAGTGTCCAGTATAATGTAGACAAGTGTCCATCATGATGTAGACAAGTGTCCAGCATAATGTAGACATGTGTCCAGCATGATGTAGACAAGTGTCCAGCATGATGTAGACAAGTGTCCAGCATGATGTAGACAAGTGTCCAGCATAATGTAGACAAGTGCCCAGCATAATGTAGACAAGTGCCCAGCATAATGTAGACAAGTGCCCAACATAATGTAGACAAGTGCCCAGCATAATGTAGACAAGTGCCCAGCATAATGTAGACAAGTGCCCAGCATAATGTAGACAAGTGTCCAGCATAATGTAGACAAGTGCCCAGCATAATGTAGACAAGTGCCCAACATAATGTAGACAAGTGTCCAGCATAATGTAGACAAGTGCCCAACATAATGTAGACAAGTGCCTAACATAATGTAGACAAGTGCCCAACATAATGTAGACAAGTGCCCAGCATAATGTAGACAAGTGCCCAACATAATGTAGACAAGTGCCCAACATAATGTAGACAAGTGCCCAGCATAATGTAGACAAGTGCCCAGCATGATGTAGACAAGTGCCCAGCATGATGTAGACAAGTGCCCAGCATGATGTAGACAAGTGCCCAGCATAATGTAGACAAGTGCCCAACATAATGTAGACAAGTGCCCAACATAATATAGACAAGTGCCAAGCATAATGTAGACAAGCGTCCAGCAGGATGTAGACAAGCGTCCAGCAGGATGTAGACAAGTGTCCAGCATGATGTAGACAAGCGTCCAGCATGATATAGACAAGCGTCCAGCATGATATAGACAAGTGTCCAGCATGATGTAGACAAGTGTCCAGCATGATGTAGACAAGTGTCCAGACAAGTGTCCAACATGATGTAGACAAGTGTCCAGCATAATGTAGACAAGTGAACAGCATAATGTAGACAAGTGTCCAGCATGATGTAGACAAGTGTCCAGCATGATGTAGACAAGTGTCCAGCATAATGTAGACAAGTGTCCAGCATGATGTAGACAAGTGTCCAGCATGATGTAGACAAGTGTCCAACATGATGTAGACAAGTGTCCAGCATAATGTAGACAAGTGCCCAGCATAATGTAGACAAGTGTCCAGCATAATGTAGACAAGTGTCCAGCATAATGTAGATAAGTGTCCAGCATAATGTAGACAAGTGTCCACAGCATGATGTAGACAAGTGTCCAGCATGATGTAGACAAGTGTCCAACATGATGTAGACAAGTGTCCAGCATGATGTAGACAAGTGTCCAACATGATGTAGACAAGTGTCCAACATGATGTAGACAAGTGTCCAGCATGATGTAGACAAGTGTCCAGCATGATGTAGACAAGTGCACAGCATAATGTAGACAAGTGCACAGCATGATGTAGACAAGTGTCCAGCATGATGTAGACAAGTGTCCACAGCATAATGTAGACAAGTGTCCACAGCATAATGTAGACAAGTGTCCAGCATGATGTAGACAAGTGTCCAGCATGATGTAGACAAGTGTCCAACATGATGTAGACAAGTGTCCAACATGATGTAGACAAGTGTCCAGCATGATGTAGACAAGTGTAGACAAGTGTCCAACATGATGTAGACAAGTGTCCAGCATGATGTAGACAAGAGTCCAGCATAATGTAGACAAGTGTCCAGCATGATGTAGACAAGTGTCCAGCATAATGTAGACAAGTGTCCAGCATGATGTAGACAAGTGCCCAGCATAATGTAGACAAGTGTCCAGCATGACGTAGACAAGTGTCCAGCATAATGTAGACAAGTGTCCAGCATGATGTAGACAAGTGTCCAACATGATGTAGACAAGTGTCCAACATGATGTAGACAAGTGTCCAACATGATGTAGACAAGTGTCCAGCATAATGTAGACAAGTGCACAGCATAATGTAGACAAGTGTCCAGCATGATGTAGACAAGTGTCCAGCATGATGTAGACAAGTGTCCAGCATAATGTAGACAAGTGCACAGCATAATGTAGACAAGTGTCCAGCATGATGTAGACAAGTGTCCAGCATGATGTAGACAAGTGTCCAGCATAATGTAGTCAAGTGTCCAGCATAATGTAGTCAAGTGTCCACCAGCATAATGTAGATAAGTGTCCAGCATAATGTAGACGTGTCCAGCATGATGTAGACGTGTCCAGCATAATGTAGACATGTCCAGCATAATGTAGACGTGTCCAGCATAATGTAGACGTGTCCAGCATAATGTAGACGTGTCCAGCATAATGTAGACGTGTCCAGCATAATGTAGACGTGTCCAGCATAATGTAGACATGTGTCCAGCATAATGTAGACATGTGCCCAGCATAATGTAGACAAGTGCCCAGCATAATGTAGACAAGTGCCCAGCATAATGTAGACAAGTGCCCAGCATAATGTAGACAAGTGCCCAACATAATGTAGACAAGTGCCCAGCATAATGTAGACAAGTGCCCAGCATAATGTAGACAAGTGTCCAGCATAATGTAGACAAGTGCCCAGCATAATGTAGACAAGTGTCCAGCATAATGTAGACAAGTGTCCAGCATGATGTAGACAACAATACCCATTGAGTGCTGGCTAGACTTTAAAATTATGAGTTAATCATCATATCAACATATACCCAGGGTGAATCACTGGTGTAAAATGGGTCCTTTACCTAAGTACAGAAACAGATCCTTAACCCACACAGGCCTGCAGCTTACACTAGTCTGGTGTGGATATTATGGGTGCCCTAATTATAACTTCTTTGGAGAATGAACAGTGTATCTCCCAGTGTGGTATCCAGAGGTCCCATTTTGGGGGAAAACAAGAACAGACCCACTGGCCTACCTAAAAGCCTGTCATAAGAGTCGACTAAATGGGAGCTTCCTTTCCAAGTTGGAGTGTATCTTCCTGAGAGGCAAGGAACCGACAGTCTGCATACAAATGAGTCTGACCTGTAAAACAGATGTGCATGCAACACTCCGGTTCTGGAACAGAATGTGTTATCAACACGGAGATTCTTTAGTCTCATTGAGTCAAGCCATAAGGTCCTCTTGGTCTGCCATCCAGGCTAAGATCTTCTGATCTAAGGATGCCAAACTTTTCAGGTAGCAGCCAAGAGGGGATTAATGGTGCGCGCACAGGTATATATATATATTTATATATAAACATGCGCGTTCATACTGCTTTTGAAGCTGTCATTCAGAGGTGAAATCTGATGATTGTCTAATTTAGGCATGAGACTGTGAATGTGGACATAACCACAAATGCCTTAACATATGCATAAGAGACAGACTTGACTGTGACCTTGATTAATGTATTTGTACTGGGCATGTGTGTCTTTAATCATTACTGCATACCTACATTTACAAATAAATAAAATATATGTAAAGTGTGCTACAGTACGTTTCAAAACTCATGCCATCACACTTTAACATATATCTCAAAAACTCTTGTTCGGATCAACACAAATTTTCTCATGCAGCATTAGATTTCCCATGTTCTTATATTCTATAATTTACAACTGTGCAGATGCTGTTGTTTTCTTAAAACGTTAAACATCTTTGATCCTTGTATACATGTGATGTTTTGAAAAGTTCCCTTTACTCAATTTATTCAAATTACTTAAGCATGCTGACTGTTTGCTTTGAATCAGTGTCTGCTTTTTTTTAAGAATAAATACTTACTAGGCCAAGTTGCATGCCAAATTTCAACAACTTACACCAAACGGTAACTAAGTTACAGATTTGTAAAGGTCATCAAGACTTCTGGAATGCTGAATAGTGTGCATTTGTTTACATTAATGTGAACTGCTTGTGTTAATCAGAAGGCTTAGAGTTTAATTCCGCATCATGGCGGATCTAGGCTCCCATGTTGATTCGTACTAAACAAATTTTTTTTTGAATGCTTGGCAAAGAGGCAAACACAACCAATGGCATGACCCTTTTTTTTTTTTTAAGAAACAGGTCCTGTAGAAAAGTCAGTTAAGTGACTTTTATGGGGGATCAGACTGAGCTGGAAGTGCTGGTTTTGTGGATTCTAAGGGAAACAGGGTTAAAGAAGGAAATGCTTATGCCTCTTCCTCTACATTCTGTACACCGACACTATCTATGATGCTTCCACATTAAATTTATATGAAAGTTTGTCCATAGTTACTATAGAGATAATGCAATTTTCTTCTGTAAGAAATAAGTAGTATTTTGAAGACAGTCTTACAATTAATATTCGTCCTCAATATTTAGTGGAGTTATTTGCGTTATTTTTCTTCTGTGTTCACCCATATCAGGATGGCTGGCACGCTGTGCTGTGGTTTACAGCTAATCTGTGATATCTGCACCTTTTGGACCAACACGTTCTATTTTAGCTTTTTCTGATCTATTTGGCTTTTACAACATGCTTGTTAAGGGGCTGTGAATACATCCCCCACTCCCTTTCCAAAAATGGTCCCTGGAACCCACATGGGGAGTCTGCATTCTATTTCAACATTTTAAGCGTGAATATGTGCTTTTTACTTAACCAACTGTCAAATGTTCGCTGTCATTTCTTTGCCATCTTCATTCCTCCATATATAAACTAGTTTTATCACTGCAGAAACTTGAAAGACCTTCGCATGGTCAGTAATTCAGCAACTAGCAGCTAGAACTAGGTTGGAATTCAGACTGGGTTCATGGATTTCAGTTAAGAATACTTTCTTTACGTCAAAGTAAATTTATTGAGTAGTTTTACACGCAGTCTTGTTTACTTGAGAGCCGAAGTGACTCAACAGCAAAAAACCCACTTACATGCCTTTGGGTCTTGGATATGAGCTGGCACCAAAAATGATTTATATTTAACAAGTTAGTTAGTTAGTCGTTACGGTTCCGGCATCACAACAAACGAGCTTGGCCTATAATTGCTCAACCGCCTATGCCAGTGATTCCAGTCACAAACTGAGTCAGATGTGCTGGATACTTCAAGTGAATGCTGTAGCCATACAAAGTGTCCTCAGCCAGCCAAACACACACGATTTAACAACTGACTCTGGCTACCAGTCTGACCTAGCCTGAGTCAATGTCCTGGGAAGTAAAGGTGGCCAGCAAAGATACTGACTACTTCATCCATCAAGTGTCAACTGGTCTATACCAATCTGGGTCTAACACCATATGCCTGATATGCCATTGGTGTACTAAGAAGGCTCTATAATAACATTTGTATTTTCACCAGCTGAGCACAGGCTGACAAGCCTCCTCATAGCACAATATAACACTATTGTCTGGAAAGATGGAAAGGTGCCAATCAATGAACAGAGACAGACACTGTGACCACCTCTGTATCAATCATGAATACACATCAGCTGCTCACCCAATAACAGTCTTACCTGGGAGGAAAGATGATCTCATATTCATATAACCGATCTCTGAATGAAGAGAATTCAGAGTCATACTGCAGCAGCTGTGGGGCACAGAAAGAAAGCAGATATGACTACAACGTGCTGGTACAGCTTTCCATGCCATCACTTATATGTAAATTAAAGTGGGAATATGTGTGGGTACTTGTGTTGTGGGAGCATTTGTGCTCATGGTATAGTGTATGTTTATGTCAATCTAGGAAGTATAATTAAATGGAAGCAACTGTTGAAATGTCATGGCAAGTGAAGGTGGTCACCATGATGTACCCACTGAGTGCTGACTGGTCTATTAAAATATGGGTCTGGTACCCTATGAATGTTGTTCCAATAGGATGAGAAGTATCTCCTTCTTTTCTCTTAAAAGTAAATCCTGGCAATATTACAATATCCCCCTCCTCCTCCTCCTCTTCTTCTTCTTCTTGTCCTTTATTCCCAATCAAGCATAGGCTTCTACAGCTTATATCATGTCCTTCCCATCCTTTTCATTCTCTCTCATCTGCCTCCGATGCCTGGATTGACCATTTTTTTTCTTTCAAGATTATGGTAGAGGCCACAGGACTGGGGATTCAAGGCCGCATGGCAAGTGCAGCTGCTACAAACCATGCAGCTTAGGATTTTTATTTTTGACCCAGATGGAGAAAGTTTCAATCCCTTAGTGATAATCAAACCCAGGTTCCCCACATGAATCCTCGGTGCTATAACCACTCGGCCAGTTCCTCCTTTCAATCTCCACTAGCTCCAGTTTATTCATTATTTCAGTTTTTGTGTGACCATTAGGTCAAACAAATTCAACACAATAACTAGAAAACTATACAATTTACATGTGCTCTTTGACCTTTCTAATTTAAACCAATCAATTAACACCCCATGAAACAACTTACCCATTTGTACATACTGGCAAACAGATCTGCGTGCTTCTCATAATAGTCAAAGCTCTTACTTCCTACTGTCAGCACAATCTATGAAAACCAAACAATCCATGTGATTATCTAATATCAATCATAAGTTATTTTAGTCCACTGTTTCTCAGTTTCTGTCACAGGTTTCACACAAGTCAACACTTGGGGCACCTCTGTGGTCCTGAGTTTGACTGACATTTTAACCTGGTCACTCTAAAAAAGCCACTTTTCTGACATTTGTAAGGTTTTTGATGTCCTGAATTCTTTTGGCAGTGACTACAACATTTGCACTACAGCTTAGTACTGGCTGTAACACAGAGTCTTTAGACATGGTGGATTTATTATATAACCCCACCCTCCTCCCCCTATGTGAGATATTACCCGGGTAAACAATTTTTTGTTAACCTTTTTATGTTAAGTCATATAATAGCATTATGAGGTCACTTTACTCCCCAAGGCTAAGTCAATAAAACCACATTTGAGGTCAAAGGCAAGGAAAACAGTTAATTCCTTGCTCTGCTTTTATTTAGCGATTAATTCTCTTACTTAAGAAAATATGATATTACTGAAAAAGTAATAATAAAAATAATATGATTTACTGTAGTGATCTGACGGTATGATGCAGCTGACTCTAAATTTCTTCTGCTTCTTCTTCTTTTCCTTGAGTTTTTGTAGGGTAGGGTTTCAGAAAATTACAAAGAAAAGTTTCTTTTTAATGAAACTGAAAAGGGTTATTGTTTAATATTCTTATGGGACAGAGGGGTTAAGGATTACCTCTTCACAGATGTAAAGTTCAGTTATCAGCCTTAGATATTCATACAAAACGTCCTTCACTGTCCCATGTGAAAACTAATGGAACAAAAATATCAAAACCTCTAGAAGTTTGTACATGCAAAGTAAAAAATGGATAAAACAGCTGTCAGAGCAGTCAACACTAACAGCAGAACTGCAGTTCACTGTTGGTGGAAACGGCCAATCACGAAAGCCAGCATTGCACCTGCAAAGGTACAACTCATTTTGAACATAATCAGCCACCGGCCATTTTAGTGCAGTCAACAATATGCCATGAGCACAACCGAAAACATTCCATATGAAACACACAGCTCATAGTGTTGCACCAAGCACTCAACTCAGTAGCTGGCCCACGAAATCTTCAGACTCTAGGTTCATAAACAAGGAGTTTACATCAGCAGCTTAGCTGGAAAAAAAATTACTGTAGTGTCAGCGATCAGCCAGCTATTGGGAATTTGGTCCGAAAAACCTCATCCAAAATGGCACAGACAATAATCCTTCCCCGTAAAATTCAGTTTGCGGTATCGCACCATACACTCAACTTAGCAGTTGGCAGAATGGGATTTCGCCTTTACCCCTTCCCAAGGATTACTGGAAAGAATAGTGAATACTGCATAAGGTATACTTGAGCAAACAGAGGCATTAAGAGTGTTACATTGTGCATCACTATTCCGTTTGGACTTCCACATAGCAAAACATTTTGTGTTAATACACTTTTACAAACTTTATTTGACAAAGCAAAAACATAAATAAACTTTTTTGAAAAAAGCACAAACTAATAAACTTTATTTGAAAAAGTAAAAAAAAAAAAAATAAACTATATGGCAAAGCAAAAACACAAACTAATAAAGTTTACTTCACAAAACAAAAACTAATAAAGTTTATTTGACATAAAAACACAAACTAATAAACTTTATTTGACAAAACAAAAACACAAACTAATAATGTTTATTTGACATAATAAAAACACAAACTAACAAACTTTTTTTGACATAATAAAAACACAAACTAACAAACTTTTTTTGACAAAACAAAAAACACAAACTAATAAAGTTTATTTGACATAATAAAAACACAAACTAATAAAGTTTATTTGACATAATAAAAACACAAACTAACAAACTTTTTTTGACATAATAAAAACACAAACTAACAAACTTTTTTTGACAAAACAAAAAACACAAACTAATAAAGTTTATTTGACATAATAAAAACACAAACTAACAAACTTTTTTTGACAAAACAAAAAACACAAACTAATAAAGTTTATTTGACATAATAAAAACACAAACTAATAAAGTTTATTTGACATAATAAAAACACAAACTAATAATGTTTATTTGACATAATAAAAATACAAACTAATAATGTTTATTTGACATAATAAAAACACAAACTAATAATGTTTATTTGACAAAACAAAAACACAAACTAATAAAGTTTATTTGACATAATAAAAACACAAACTAATAAAGTTTATTTGACATAATAAAAACACAAACTAATAATGTTTATTTGACATAATAAAAATACAAACTAATAATGTTTATTTGACATAATAAAAACACAAACTAATAATGTTTATTTGACAAAACAAAAACACAAACTAATAAAGTTTATTTGACATAATAAAAACACAAACTAACAAACTTTTTTTGACATAATAAAAACACAAACTAACAAACTTTTTTTGACAAAACAAAAAACACAAACTAATAAAGTTTATTTGACATAATAAAAACACAAACTAACAAACTTTTTTTGACAAAACAAAAACACAAACTAATAAAGTTTATTTGACATAATAAAAACACAAACTAACAAACTTTTTTTGACAAAACAAAAAACACAAACTAATAAAGTTTATTTGACATAATAAAAACACAAACTAATAAAGTTTATTTGACATAATAAAAACACAAACTAATAATGTTTATTTGACATAATAAAAATACAAACTAACAAACTTTATTTGACATAATAAAAACACAAACTAACAAACTTTATTTGACATAATAAAAAAACTACAAAACTACACAAACTTTATTTGACATAATAAAAATACAAACTAACAAACTTTATTTGACATAATAAAAATACAAACTAACAAACTTTATTTGACATAATAAAAATACAAACTAACAAACTTTATTTGACATAATAAAAATACAAACTAACAAACTTTATTTGACATAATAAAAATACAAACTAACAAACTTTATTTGACATAATAAAAACACAAACTAACAAACTTTATTTGACATAATAAAAATACAAACTAACAAACTTTATTTGACATAATAAAAACACAAACTAACAAACTTTATTTGACATAATAAAAATACAAACTAACAAACTTTATTTGACATAATAAAAATACAAACTAACAAACTTTATTTGACATAATAAAAACACAAACTAACAAACTTTATTTGACATAATAAAAATACAAACTAACAAACTTTATTTGACATAATAAAAATACAAACTAACAAACTTTATTTGACAAAACAAAAACACAAACTAATAAACTTTATTTGACATAATAAAAACACAAACTAACAAACTTTATTTGACATAATAAAAATACAAACTAACAAACTTTATTTGACATAATAAAAACACAAACTAACAAACTTTATTTGACATAATAAAAATACAAACTAACAAACTTTATTTGACAAAACAAAAACACAAACTAATAATGTTTATTTGACATAATAAAAATACAAACTAACAAACTTTATTTGACAAAACAAAAACACAAACTAACAAACTTTATTTGACATAATAAAAATACAAACTAACAAACTTTATTTGACAAAACAAAAACACAAACTAACAAACTTTTTTTGACAAAACAAAAACACAAACTAACAAACTTTATTTGACATAATAAAAACACAAACTAACAAACTTTATTTGACATAATAAAAATACAAACTAACAAACTTTATTTGACAAAACAAAAACACAAACTAATAATGTTTATTTGACATAATAAAAATACAAACTAACAAACTTTATTTGACAAAACAAAAACACAAACTAACAAACTTTATTTGACATAATAAAAATACAAACTAACAAACTTTTTTTGACAAAACAAAAACACAAACTAACAAACTTTTTTTGACAAAACAAAAACACAAACTAACAAACTTTATTTGACAAAACAAAAACACAAACTAACAAACTTTATTTGAAAAAGCAGCACATTAACTGCAACCTCAGTTAACATCAATATTACTGAAACAGACTCACTTTCCCATTTCCCTCTTCTGTGTATTCAATTTTGTTCACTTGACCTTTCTTTCCTGTTGTTTGACAAGCTACCAGTTTTCCCGTTAGCTCCTGAAATGTGAATAAATGATCATCTATTTGGCTCTTTTGCAGTTATAGAAATGAAAATAAAATCAGACAGAACAAACTTTTCAAATCTGGAATCATTTCACTTTTTTCTACATGAAAAGAATGGGTCGGGATTTAATCATCATGATTTTGCAGTGGTGGATGGCACTTAAATACTAATTCAATGACCTAGATTTAACAATGAACAGTAGCAGGACTGAACTTTACACACATCAGTACTGTATAATCTGCTTGAAATTACCTTTAAAGGAAATATTATAAGAAAAGAAGCTGGTTACACTGCCTCATTACACTTTGACCTAGTACATTTGCAGTATAATGAGAGAGAGTCAAGTAATAATAATCATCATCATCAATGTTGATGTCTTGCCAGTGGCAAGACATGGGGGGGGGGAGGGGGGAGAGAGAGAGAGAAAGAGAGAGAGAGCAAAGTCTGGCATGACCTCTGAAAGAACGTTAATTCTGGTTCTCAACCAAAACTAAAATCAGTCTTGGAATAATTCAATACAGAGCTTAGCCACATGCAGTTCTTTAATTAAAGAATGTCATTTTCAAGCTCTCCATGGAGCGAACAAACACTGATTGTTTCATTTTAAATAATAATAGGTATTTTTATTTTGCTTTAGCACTGGCTTTTGAAACAAAATTACATTGCCACAAGCTACATCCGGACCAGTATAATGTATGAAAATTACAGCACTCTTCCTCCTTGCTTTCTTCAATGTATTCCCCTCTTCTTCCTTGCCACCTTCTATTTTTTTCTCTTCATTTTTATCCTCCTACGGCATAGGGGTTAGTGAAATGGTTTCATAATGCAAACCTTGACGTTTAACAGTGTTTCATTCCTGCAGTCGGTGATTTACAAAAAGAATATTCTGGTGGCTTTCAGATGAGGAGATGATTCACATCATGGATGGATATTCTGGTGGCTTTCAGATGAGGAGATGATTCACATCATGGATGGATATTCTGGAGGCTTTCAGATGAGGAGATGATTCACATCATGGATGGAAGAGATTGGGGCATGCATCCAACCTCTATTCAAGAAATAACAGCTTTTTTTTTTCTTTCTAAATTTCCCTAATCCGTCTTTTGGTATTCTATTTTCATTAGTGAAATAATAACTATACATTCCACTGAAAAAAACTGAAGTTGAACAACGTGTGGCTTATTTCCCCAACAATAATAAAATAGTAATGCAGGTCAGCAGAATTCCTAGTCCGCTACATATCGGGTTGAATGGTGCTTGTCCGACGCAAGTTGAAGAATTTAAATATCTAGGAAGTATATTCTCGGAGGACTGAAGAAAAGATCGGGAAATAGAAACAAGATGCCAAAAAGCCAGTGCACTTATATACCAACTGACACCGTTATTCAGACATCCAAACATAAGTATGAGCGCCAAGAAACGATTATAAACAGCATATTCATACCAATACAGTGCAACCAGTGCCAGACTTGGACATTATCAAAGGCTAACCTATGTAAAATTAACACCTGTGAAACGAGATGCCTGAAAAAAGCGGCCAATTTAACTATCTGTGAAAGTTAGAAATTATACTATCAGACAGACTGTAGAAACAACACCATGCAGTAAATTCCCTGAGAAACAGAAGATCAAATGGTTTGGTCATTTAGTAAGAATGCAGCCAGACCAATTACCAACGCAGGCGCTGCACATAAAGAGATTTGAAGTAAAAGCAAGAAGCTGTCCTGGGAGAACATGGACTGATGACATAAAAGAGCTTCTACATCGACATGGAATGACAACAGTCATTGCTGCCCATCAAGCAATGGATCGCAAACTATTACTCCCCCCAACGCTTAACAGCAGAAGTGGAAAATGAGATGATGATGATAATAATGATAAACCATATCAGACAAGAAGTCAAAAGTGACAAAAAGTGATGAGTTGGGTTATCTTCACAGCACTCTGGAAACATCCTTAGGTGCTCAGATTCTCTTCCCCCCCCCCCCCCCCCTCTTCTAAAATATACATCAGCTTCCTGTGGTTAATTAATTAAAGAAGACAAGAAATCTCTACCAGGCTGGCAAAATCAGCTATTAATTACAAACTGGCAGCATTTTCTGAGACTTAACCAGAAAGTGTGAATTAGGCCAGCATTTTAAAAAAAAAAAATAACCCCAACTTACCTGTATTAGTAAATTAGAATCCAGTCGGAAGTTGAAATCACCAAATATAAATAGAGGAACTTTGCTATATTTGTCATTTTCAAACCTGTTGGTAACAAAAGTAAAAGATGCAAGGCATGGCTGTGGTTGCAAGTCTTTGTGTTAGTTGTTTTAAAGCATTTAGTATTTATTCAAATACAATGAGACACTGAAATCTGCAAAATAAATTTGGTAAATAACTGATACCTTCTTCTCTCTCAGATTCATTCTCATTCCCTCTCTCTCCATTTATCTTCTCCTCCCTTTCTTTCCTAATCATACTGCCTCAGGTCCCCCACCACTCTCTCTCTCTCTTTCACTCTTCCTCACCTCTTACCTTCTTTTTTCTCTCTCACCTTCTCGTCACTCTCTCACTTCTCAATCTCTCTCTCCCCCCTCACCTCACCCTCCCTCTCCCGATCATCACTCTATGTGTACAATATTATAAAATAATCTGTAAAATCAATGATAATTGTCTGAAGAATAATTTCAATATTAAGGAATCTCTCCACAACATGGTGAGGCAAACATAATCTTAGAAATGCTAAAAAAAATGACATTCACATAAATGGACCCTTAAAGATGTTAACAGAATATAATTAACCCATGCCTTCATCAATGTGAATTTCACCAGGATCCATAAAAATGTTGCTAGGATGAAAGTAACCAATGTATAAATCTAGAGATATTTTAACAAAATATAACAATATAATTATAGGTAAATCCACAGAATAAAATAGCAAATATCAGCTGACAAATCAAAATGTCTAAGAACACAGTGATGGCCACAAGTTTAAGACCACCTAGTAAATAATTGATACTTCCACACTATTATAGAGTATTAGATAAACTGCTTTTTAGTTAAGAATGATGACTGCAATGATTGCCTTTAATGGGCCATAAAATAGCAAGAATGCAATACTTTGTAATAGTATGGAGAAATCAACGTTTACTAGGTGGTCTTAAACTGTTGACTACCACTGTACAACTGAGGAAATGATTACACTTCAACGGAAGTGCTGACTAATAAAAAAAATTTTTAAAAAAGCTGTCTACAAATTGCTGCCTCTGTTACCTCTGTAATGTGTGCAGCAAGGCTCGCTGTCTGTTGTCTGAGTACACTGAGGGACTCTGGAAAACAGCAGCATTTTGTCAAATAATTCAAGTGGATTACACACACAGTCACAGGCTCTATTATTGGATTCACATTTTCTGATGTAAAAATTAAAGTGAAATATTTTGGCCATATTAAAAGATACAGCACTCTTATAAAAAAAATAACTATATTCTCTTCATGTCGCTGTTGACACATAAGGCATTCACAAGTGATCTCCACTGCTGCCGGTCTGCTGCTTTTCTGCCCACGGTATCCCAAGTCAGTTTACATTCCTTCATTTCCTGTTATACTATCCTTCTCCAGATTTCCCTAGGTCATCCACGTCTTCTTTTCCCATCTGCTGTCCACTGGAGAGCTGTTTTTGCCAGTGTCACAAGGTATTATGCAAACATGTCCAAGCCATCTTCATTGTCTTACTTTGAAAACATTTGCCAGTGATGCACATTCTGTTTTCCTCCTCAGTTCTTCATTTGTGATCTTGTTTGGCCAAAATATTCGTAAAATTCTCCTTAAACATTTTGAAAAGTCTCAAGTTTATGTGCAATTCCCGCTTTCATTTTCTAACATTCACTGTTGTATAATAGTATTCCTAAAATGTTGCTTTTGTATATTTTGAGTTTTGTCTTTAAACTAAATCCCTTTGACTTCCATATATTGTTAAGCATGGCAAATGCTTGATATGCTTTGTTTATTCTTGATATTACATCCTTTTCAGAATCTTCATCTGGAGTAACTTTATTTCCGAGGTATATAAATTCTTCAACTTCCTCTGTTGCTTCACCATTTGAGATAATTTGATTTTCTGTTTTGAAATTATTTCTCATTACTTTAGTTTTACTGGTGTTTATTTTGAGTCCTATCTGAAGGCCTGTTGTTGAAAGTCTTTCAATCTTTTCCTGAGTGTCCACATGACAGCTTGATATAAGGCTGATGTCATCTGTATAGTCCAAATCCTCTAAAACAGAGGTGAGTGACCATCTGATGCCTATTTTTCTATATACTGCAATGAAAAGTCAAAGGCAAGGAAGCAAGAGGTAGAAGAGAAGATGGAAAAACAGCAAGCCTGTTAGGGTGTATAACAAGTGTAAGAGTTAGAGAATGTGTTGGGGTGAGGTACACTTTAAAGGCAAGCCAATGTGGTGCTGTTTTGGGATTATATATTTATAAGGTACTACCAAGGACACTCAGTAATGCTGTTAGAGTATTAATTGACAAAACTGCACATATGTGAGGCTACATTATACTATGAGGAACTGAGTAGCTTCTTCTTATAAGCTTTTATTTAACTCAAATGGTGTCGGCTGCGTCAAAATGTTGCCTTCAATCTGAAACAATTTCCTGACAAGCTATCAAGGTCACATTTTGCATTACACTTTTTGTGGATGACCAATGCAATGTGATGCAACAGTATATTGTTTTCAAAAAAATTCGTTTTTTTAAACTTTTAATATAAAAAGAAATGAGATCTTGATAGTAAAATATACTTTCAAAGGAATTTCGATTTGTAAACTATCGAGCTCTAATTGTTTATACATGCTCTAAATGATAGTGCAATGTGGTTCAAGCATTCTGTGGTAGGAAACCTTGTTTTCAGTGACTTTTTGTTGACGCTTGGCTTCTTAACCATGCTGGGAAAATGTATGTCTATGAAATTACAGAGGTTTGAAAGGTTGAGTCACAGTGCTCTGATCAGCTGATCGGTAATGCTTGGCTTATAACCCAGTCATGGCGACAAAACAAAACAAAAATATTTTTATATTGATTATTTTGATTGATAACACATAATTAGGACTACAAATTAGAAAATAAACTATACATATATAATACATATAATAACTATATATATATATATATATATATATATATATATATATAAATATATATATATATATATATATATATATATATATATATATATAATATTAGCTTTACTAAAGATACATGACATAATTAACGTGATAAAATTAAATAATAAATATAATAAAATAATTTCGCATATAGTCTACTGGACACTAGATAAGTCATGAGAAAGAACCTATCATGCATCACAGTCTGCTTAAAATGGAATGATTTAACAGAAGCATTCTTTCTGTATTCTGATCTGTCCCAACATCTGCAGTAAACAACTTCATCAGTTTTTCTTAATCTACATTTCCCCTCAAAAGCTGTGTTGTGGTTCACAGCTAGGATGTGATATCTGCCCCTTATGGCCCAAAACATTTAGTTTCAGCAAATACCTTTCACAGGCAGTGGCATTTTTTTTTTAACCTACACAGGTGGCTTCAGCAGTGATTCCATCGATTTAGTATAGAACGCACAATGTTGGAAGCAGTGGTCTCCAGCTTTTTCCTGTCGTGCCATCCATGAGTATATGGCAAGACTCCCGCTCCCCTCGTCTTCGAGTACATGGCAAGGCCCCATGCACCACCCCCCCCCCGAATTTAATGCAAGAGCCCCACACCCCCTTTGAGTAAATGGCAAGGTCTCCCGCGCACCCCTTGAGTATATTGGCAAGACTCCCACGTCACCTTGAGTATATTGCAAGACCCCCACATGACCTTGAGTATGTTGCAAGATCCCCACATCCCCTTGAGTATACTGCAAGACCCCCACGTCCCCTTGAGTATACTGCAAGACCCCCACGAGACCTTGAGTATGTTACAAGATCCCCACATCCCCTTGAGTATACTGCAAGACCCCCACGTCCCCTCGAGTATACCGCAAGACTCCCACGTCCCCTTGAGTATACTGCAAGACTCCCACACCCCCTTGAGTATACTGCAAGACTCCCATGTCCCCTTGAGTATGTTGCAAGACTCCCACATCCCCTTGAGTATGTTGCAAGACTCCCATGTCCCCTTGAGTATACTGCAAGACTCCCATGTCCCCTTGAGTATGCTGCAAGACTCCCACACCCCCTTGAGTATACTGCAAGACTCCCATGTCCCCTTGAGTATGCTGCAAGACTCCCATGTCCCCTTGAGTATGTTGCAAGACTCCCACATCCCCTTGAGTATGTTGCAAGACTCCCACGTCCCCTTGAGTATACTGCAAGACTCCCATGTCCCCTTGAGTATACTGCAAGACTCCCATGTCCCCTTGAGTATGCTGCAAGACTCCCATGTCCCCTTGAGTATGTTGCAAGACTCCCACATCCCCTTGAGTATGTTGCAAGACTCCCACGTCCCCTTGAGTATACTGCAAGACTCCCATGTCCCCTTGAGTATACTGCAAGACTCCCACACCCCCTTGAGTATACTGCAAGACTCCCACGTCCCCTTGAGTATACTGCAAGACTCCCATGTCCCCTTGAGTATGTTGCAAGACTCCCACATCCCCTTGAGTATGTTGCAAGACTCCCACGTCCCCTTGAGTATACTGCAAGACTCCCATGTCCCCTTGAGTATGCTGCAAGACTCCCATGTCCCCTTGAGTATGTTGCAAGACTCCCACATCCACTTGAGTATGTTGCAAGACTCCCACGTCCCCTTGAGTATGTTGCAAGACCCCCACATCCCCTTGAGTATACTGCAAGACCCCCACATCCCCTTGAGTATACTGCAAGACCCCCACGTGACCTTGAGTATGTTGCAAGACCCCCACATGACCTTGAGTATATTGCAAGACTCCCATGTGACCTTGAGTATAATGCAAGATCCCCATGTCCCCTTTGAGTATATTGCAAGATCCCCACATCCCCAACATAACAACAGATTCCACAAGAAGGGAAACATACAGTATGGAGATATGTTTTGGTCAGGGTGTGTTCTTGATCTATCAATTAATGAATGTTTTATCATATTAATGAGACTTTTAACTGTATTATACAAACTGCCAATAAAAAAAAAATTTTAATGACATTGGCTTGTTTTGTTTAATAAATAGTTTTTAAAATATTCATTATTTTCTCTCTCTCTCACTCTCACTCACTCACTCACTCACTCACTCTCTCTCTCTCTCTCTCTCTCTCTCTCTCTCTTCTCTCTCACTCACTCCACTCACTCACTCACTCACTCACTCACTCACATCACATCACTCACTCACTCACAGCACTCACTCACTCACTATCACTCACTCACTCTCTCTCGCGCACTCTCTCTCACACACACACACACACACACACACACACACAGAGAGAGAGAGAGAGAGAGAGAGAGAGAGAGAGAGAGAGAGAGAGAGAGTGAGAGAGAGAGAGAACCAAATTATTACAAATACAAATGAAATGCGCTCAATTTCAAAACTGCTTGACTTATGGATTTATACCAGTCATTTCCTTGTGAGATGCAATTTTTCATTATTTGAGGTCCTACTCTGGCTCTTGCCAGGGGCGGCAATATAGCCCGGCCATAAATATGGTCTAATGGCTGAACGTGGTTTCTGGGACCTCTCCACGGGTGATCCTCATCCACATGGTGGCACTTTGTGTCATCGGGTGTTTATCACTTGTGTGATGTCCTGGTGGGGTAAAAATCTACTACTAAACTGCCTGACGCCCCCTCCCCCTTTGAAACCTTCTAGCACCCCCCTGGGGGATAGGAGGGAAGGGGGGGGGGCACTCCCAGGTTTGAGACCATTTGTTTAAAGACACTGTATACAACTTGCAAAGATTTAAGTTAAAAAAAAAAGTCTCTGTATACATTTGATAAAGAAAATGTGTAAACACAATGTTGTTATCATGTAACTAATATACATGTCACAAACATTATATAGCCATTATGTGTAATGTATTATAGACATGACATAACAATATTCTAAAACATATATAAACATATAAACAGTCAATAATGTACAATAATATCACTTACTGTTTCCATGGCAACAATATTAGAAGCATCATGAAAGAGATGTATGTTCACCAGGTCAAATATACTGAATATGATAAAAAATTTAAAAAGCGATTATTCAAACTTATTTTTAACAGACTTAGAGATTTTTTTAATATTTTTTTATTCATGGCAGAGTTTAATAATGTGGTATTAAAAAAAACACCTCTTAAATTATAGTAAATGTAATGTCATCATTTTAAAACTATTAAATTGTTCATCATTTCAATTTTTCTACCTCAACAATTTCAAATTTACTATATGATCTTTTTGTTTACACAATGAGGAAGTGTTCAGATAATTTTTACAGCTTCTAACAGTCTCAGTGGCTAACTTTTTTCAGTAATTCCCAAGGTAGTCGTATGACTATCTAGGACTTCCAGCTGTGAGATAAATGGTGTATCTGGAGAAGATAATGTGATTTATAATATTTCCGTAACCTGAATTGTGACAGCAAATATGTGCTTCCTGACCACACAATCTTTCTTCAATCCTGCTGTCAGAAAACTGATATCAGGAGGCCTACCCTGTCATCTGATATTTTATAATCTCTTCTAAGCTGAAGGTCACAAACAATAAGGACAAAATATCTGCATTTAATTCAGTAGCTTTGGGGGGAAGGGGGATTACTTATATTTTGTTTTATCTGTATTCATACTGAAAAGAATGACTGGCATGTTATTTTGTGGTTTACAGCTAGGCTTCAATATCTGTTTTTTTTTCCCCACCTCAACTCATCCAATTTTGACAAACTTCTAATAAGTATTCTTTTACACTATGATTGTTAGGGAGCAGTGGGCCTATCCCCCCCCCCCCCCCCTTCCCCAACCCCATGGGGCCCCAGAACCCATATGGGGAACTGTAAGATTTAATCTGGAGTAAATTTTCTGAAACAGTTAGCAAAGACTAAAGAAACATCAAAAGTTACAACTGCACAACTAACAAAATTAACACTGGTTGTGAGATATACACATAGGTTAGTTTTGTTACTGTAACAGAGTAAAAAAAATGTCAATGGTCACAGAATTAAATATCTCAACATGTTGAAAAGTATGCAGAAGTACTATCTTTTGAACGCTGAAACACACAAAAAAAAAAGAAAATCTGGAATACTGTAAACAAAAATTATTATTTTTTTTTTTAAACACAGGACAGTTTCATTTTTGTTAAACACACTAACCCATATGCGCACATATATTAACCTAAAACAAATACCATGTAAATATCTGTGGAGTAAATACAGCTGAAATAATACTGACACCATCCATCGACTGCTTCATAAAGATCATAGTCCTATAACACTGTGTATCGTTGGGTCACCTGTTGCTGCTGACTGACTGATCAGGTCTCTTCACTTCTGTTGGTCAGATGTAACAGACCTGATGTTTGCATGTTTGAGACCAGTCCATTCAGGCAAATTTTGTGTCCAGGTCTTTCTTGGGCTGTCTCTTGTCCTCTTGCCTACTACAGGGCAGTGTAGTATTACTTTGGAGAGGCTCGAAGATTTTATTAAATGTTCATGCCCTTAAATTTCCCTGTTGTGAAAAAGAGCTTTCAAACCGGCCAGTTTGCTGAGTGATGATACAGTGAACTTTATCATCTGTATACAAAGGATCTTGTGAAAAGATCTGATTTCGGTACTTGTATTTTCCTTTCAAGTCTGGATGCTAAACTAAAGGCCACATTTCACACTGTATATACTGATCAATGGTGCTTTAAGAAGACATATGTTTATTTTACACTTAATGCTTTATGGTCTAAAAATATACCCTGTAAGCCTCATGGTAAGAACAAGGATTCCTTTTACACACATTCATGCATGTGCACACACACACACATATATTCTCTCAACTGCTAACCAAACCAAACATCCCTAAGAAAGCCCATGCGTGTCAGTCACCGGAAATGTTTCTGAGAAAGGACACCCACCAATTGTTTATACTCCATCTTGTTCGCAGGAAGCCTTTGCGTGACCACTTGAACTAAACAAAGAGGAGGAGATTGAACCAGGTTACCGTGCATGATAAATTCAATAGACACAATTTAATTCATAGAAGTTGAACTCAGAAGATTAATTACTTCTCACATAACAGTTCAGATAAGCACATTTTACATGTGCCACACACCGGCATCAGGGAGTGTCCACTGGTCTATACAAATATGTCTAGCATCATTTGCCCAATGTGCCATTGGTGTATGGGGGGGGGGGGGATAGGGGCAGGAGGTTCTACACAAAGGGATCAACCTAAATAACTTTACATGACCTGGTCATTGAGTTTTAACCGTTTGTGTCAATTCCTCCCCACCAAAAAATGGTTGACACAATCTGTTTCTGAGGACAGCTTGTTTTATCCAGTTTGCTCTCTAGACAGTTGCAGTCCCCTGCTGATAAGATTCTGTTTTTCCAAGTGGGCCGCCACAGTCAAAACATTCAGAAGGCAGAGTGCCAAAACTATCTGCCACTTTCCCTACCCGACACAGCACAACCACAATTCATGCTGCTCCCACAAAAAACAATGTATCCTGTGTTGAAAACTTCACATGAACTAACCCACCATTTTCATCTTTGCCATAAGGCAGTCTGGATGCCAAGCTGGAAAAATGATGTAATCACGGCTTTCTCCGACATTCAGCAATATGTGTATACATGGAAATGTCTACCTTTTGCTGTTGTAATCACCACTTTCTCCGACATTCAGCAATATGTGTATACATGGAAATGTCTACCTTTTGCTGTTGTAATCACCACTTTCTCCTACATTCAGCAATATGTGTATACATGGAAATGTCTACCTTTTGCTGTTGTAATCACCACTTTCCCCTACATTCAGCAATATGTGTATACATGGAAATGTCTACCTTTTGCTGTTGTAATCACAAATTTCTCCTACATTCAGCAATATGTGTATACATGGAATTGTCTACCTTTTGATGTTATCTCCCTATTCTTTTGAATACTTGTACATGCTGATGAGATCAACATGTCACACTGAGGTGGCTAGCTTAATAGATGACATGTCTTACTATACACTGTCTCCAGTTCTAAACACAGATGTGATCCATGTTGCTAAACATATGTGTTCTTCACCGTTTTAAAAACATTTTAACCTCACTGCTAAACACATACAGTCTTCATTGCTTAAAACACACCTGAACCTCACAGCCAGACACACGGCAATGCTCAAAGCCCACACATAAAACTCACTGCTCAACACACATATGACCCTCATTAAAAACACATATAAAACTCACTGCTCAACACACATATGACCCTCATTAAAAACACATATAAAACTCACTGCTCAACACACATATGACCCTCATTAAAAACACATATAAAACTCCCTGCTCAACACACATATGACCCTCATTAAAAACACATATAAAACTCACTGCTCAACACACATATGACCCTCATTAAAAACACATATAAAACTCACTGCTCAACACACATATGACCCTCATTAAAAACACATATAAAACTCACTGCTCAACACACATATGACCCTCACTGCTCAACACCATGTGATCCTCACACCTTACCACATATACTATTCAAATTTTTCAACATACATGTGAATTTCACTGTAAAACTCACATATGACCCTCAACGACACATATAATGCTCACTGGTAAACATATATAAAATGCTCACTGGTGAACAGACAAATTTCTCACTGGTAAACACACACAGATAACCCTAATTGCCAAAATATACATGATATTCACACACATATATATGATCCTCAGTGGTAAAAATGTTCATTCAGTTCCCATTGGAAAGCACACATATATGAACCCCACTAGTAAATATGTGCATATAGTTCCCATTGGTAAGCACCCAGATATTAACCTCACTGGTGAATATGTGCATACAGTTCCCATTGGTAAGCACCCATATATGAACCTCACTGGTAGATATGTGCATACAGTTCCCATTATTAAGCATACATATATATATGAACCTCACTGGTGAATATGTGCATATACAGCCAAGTCCACTTAAGTCGAACTCGGATAAGTCTAATTTCGGTTAAGTCGACATGACCAGCTTAGTCCCAGCAGTTTTCTCTATTGTATTTGCTGTCTGGATAAGTAGAAATCCTGATAAGTGGAAGCATTTTCTTAGGTCCCTGTGACTGTAGTTCCCATTGCTTATTTTTTTTTTTTTTTTCAGTTTTTTTTTTTTTAAGTATCCAGAAACCATAAATTGTTAACCCTTAAGCTCGGTACTATGGATATTGCAACCCTTCAGTCTTGATTCCAGAAAAAATCTGGGAGAAATGTGGTTTTTTCTGCCTATCCCTGGGCGTGAACCTGGACCACAAGGAGTTTGTCACATGATCATCGCTGGTAAATATGTGCACATTCCCACTGGTAAAGACACACATATGATCTTCACTTCTAAACACAAACCATTCTCACTTGCAAAACAAAAACAAAACTGCTATCCATACCCACCCACACCCCACACAAACACACATTATGACACTCATATGTGTTAAACACACATATATATTCCTCACAATTAAACCCACAAACACATACGATTATAATTGCTAAATGCACATATATGATCCTCACACTGATAAACACACATACACAACTCCCTTCACCCAACACCCCCTACCACCACCCCCCTACGCCAGCCCGCCCAAGCACACACAGAGTCAAACCTAACTGCTAAAGGCACACCTATGATCCTCACTGAAATAAACAAAACATACACGGCAAAACATACATATGTGATTCTCCTGACATAAAAAAAAAAAACGCACATACACACTAACAGGCATAATTTTCACCCTTAATAGCATCAGCTCCAATGCAACACCAGAAATAAACACTTGCATGACAAAGATCCCCTTACCCCCCCCCCCCCCCCCCCCCCCCCCAACAAATGTCACTGTATTTATGACGCCAGCAAGAGCTATATATCATATGACTGTGTTCTGACTGCACTTACAGAAGCCATTTATTTTCAAGAAAAAAACACATTTATCCAACAAAGCCTCTCACAACAGCACAAAGCCTCTCACAAGAGCTTAGTCTGTCTGATAAATACAGAAAATGATCTGAAAATAGATGGTTTCTGAATAAGCAAATATGTACTTGGTAAAGCTAATTATAATAGAGAGATTTATTAATTAACATAAAGAAAATGTATTCTTGCTGCTTTACAGATCACGTTAAAGCAATCACTAAAGAGAAAAAAGTGTGGGGGAGAAGGTTAAAAAAAAAACAGTCATTGACAATTTTGGGAGATATTAAACTGATAGAAAAGGTTTCTGAATAATTTTGTGAATATTTACTCAAATAAGAATAAGAACTCCAGAGCGGTAGCATTCACAGCAGGAGTTTTACCAATCATCAGTAAAAGGATCCCTCGTCGTTTCCGCCCATTATCCTCCTAGACAATCTCGGAGGGTGGGCCGACTTGGTTCATGACTCCTACCCTTAATGGATGTTCCGACAAGACGAAATGGTGGCTTTGTAACAGGTATTGTGAGGTTTGATGTTATATATCGTCGCTGTGGTAGCAACGCAGCCGACCACCTTCACGACCAGGGTGACAAGTGAATGATTGAATCATCGGACAGACATTAAACTTTGGCAACTGGCAGAGAAAAACTGGCAGATGGAAATCGGACACTCTGACTTAGGGGATGCAAAAGTTCCTTTCCACTAGGGGCTCGGACCAGTCAACCGAGGCCCATCCCCCACAGCAATGTTCTGTTGTGTCCACAGCCAGCTCAAAGCCTTTTAAGCCACTTAACCCAGTTGTTTTAGTGCCCACTTAAGCTCTTTGTCTTGCAGGCTCAGGTGCTTTAGCACATTGTATATGGAGGTAAAGATTAGCTCTCTTGCGCCTACCTCGATGGCGAAGAGTTTTTACTGTGTACGCCTCATCGCTCCTCAGACTGGCCACCAATTCACAGTACTTTTCACGCTAGTACAGGTGATTTTTTTTACCAACCGCGACCCTTGCGACACGCCAAGCTCTATCAGGATGAGCTGGCGCTTTGCTACAGATCGCAGAACCATGTCTGGTCTCAAGCCAGCCTTTCAGATTGATCTGAGGTATTTCTTGAAACCAGGCAGGTCGAACGCCAGTAACCAGTCTCTCACACAGTCAAGTAACAATCAAGCATATGTGACTTTGTTGACTTTATCTTTAGAAAACTGCCCAGCCTTGAGGAAACTCATGCGTTAGACTGGCCATCATGTGTCCCTGGTATCAGCATGCATTTGGAAGGTATTCTACCTCACTGTGGATTCCATCCATGGTATCTGGCTCTATCTATCAAATTCAGATAGGCCAGCTACAAAATGATTGACACATACCGAGACCTTTATGATATACCAACTTCAATAAATAAATGCCAAGAATTTCCCAAAAGAAATGTGACAGGAAGGATAATTGACCTAGCAAAAGCATTATACCTATGGCAGTATTTGCTAGATTTTTAAATAATGCTGTTCATACAATATCATTTCTTTAAAGGCCTGATCAACTGGCATGTGCAATGATACCTCTGCACAGCTCCCATTCTCTAGCACTAAGATTAACTCATATTTAAATATATATTATGTTTTTATGTTCTGATGCAGAACAGTCTTCTTTCCTTGTATTCCTTATTCTTCTTTTTTTCCTTCCCAAAAATTACCAGATGCTATTTCAGTTGTTTTTCCTCATGTGTGGGTAAAATATGATGCCTGCCTTTTTCTGATATATGTGGTCAGTTTTCTTTCTCTCATAGCCACATTCAAAACACAAACACTTATAGCTGTCTGTGCTAGTAAAACAGTATTATGTGCCATTGAGCAAATAAAGCCTTGTTTAGAGAGTCTATACACTGATTCATGTGTAACATTACCTCAGGGAAGAAATGTTGTGGGAACTTGGCTTTCTCTTTGATGGGAACATTTTCTATGTTCCCTGACAACACCTGTCAAATGAAGTAAGATGAGCAACACTCTTTAAGAACAACTGTTAAAAGGCACACAAGCAAAATAAAACAATGTATCAGCCAGCAACAGATATCTTAGATCTAAGGCAACAACCAGAGTGCTCACGTAACATTACAACAGTAAAACAAAAACTGTATAAATCAGTAAAATTAAATATGCTACCTCAGTCAAATTCAAGAAGGGAAATTTGCAGATGCAATAAATCTGACAAAAGTGTAACTCTGACCATTTTTCTCTTAATCTTGTAGCAGACCTTTTGCAGGACATCCCTCTCACTACATCATGATTGAATGTCCTTTGTTCCTTTGCAAACTGTCCTGCCACATGTGACATTTTGAACCCTGTGTTCACAGTCACAACCATGCTAGGTGACTCCTCCCTTTTTTAACTATCATTCTGGCATCAGTGAATAAAACAGTTTTGGTGGCACCATGAGCTTGTTTGTTGTTAGAGGAAAAGGCGGAGGAGGAGATTAACCTGTATCTAACATGGTCTTCATAAGTCTATCTCACAGTCGACCAATGGTGGGTTTCCTTGCTTAGTTGCTTACTTCAGTACTGCAAGTCTTCAGTGACAGGTCCCTGCACATCTGGACATGCTTGCTCCTTGCTCATCTCACTTGCCAAAGAGGCTGCCAACCATAATTTCCTTTAGTGCACCTGCATGGGGCAGATTACTTAAACCCACAAAGTTTGTTATGTATCCTTTAAAAGACGCTGCAGAACCCCAGCAATTTTTTTTAGCTGCTTTGTTTTACTAGGCAATTTTATGTCAGTAGTTTGCCATTGCTTCTGAACGGTCCGCTCTAGATACCACTGTTGAAATCACAATAAAGCAGTCTGGTGTCAAACTGCCTGCAGCTGGAATTGAACCCAGCATCTTTGAATTACAATTAGTCTAAATTCTGTAAGTTAAATAAGTATATGAGGACATTAGGCGTGATAACTGGGATGCATGAAGGAACAAACACACGCCCAAGTACTGTAACTGAAACAAAAAGGCTTACAAATCAAACATACACAGGAGCACAACCATAAAGGTGGCAGTCGAGAAATATAAATGGCATACAGTCCAGTTCATGAAGTTAGTTTTACCACCTTATGTTGGACAAAGGGCATGAAAAAATTGAGGAATGTGATCTAACTTTTAAAAAATGCCCCTGAATTATCTCTCCACCACCTACCCACCCACACACACACACATTCACTCACTACCTCACTCACTGTAAGACTCCTAATGTTAAGTATCAAACATACTCACCTCTCGTCCTTCAACTTCAATAAACTTGCAGTCTGTAAAGAAAATAACAATATGCCTCTCTTCATATATGCCACAAGTAAGGTACACTCCACATAATAGTATTTCTAAAAACATTAGGGCTCAGTCTTGTTTACCATGATTTTCACATGCTCGTAACTGAAGAATATTATTTGGCACAAATATTTCCATGCACCTTTAAGGTCAACAATCAATCAGGTACCGGCTCCACAATGAAGGTTGGCAGCAATGGCCCCCAACGCACTGGCAGCAATGGCCCCCAACGCACTGTCTCTTGTCAAGTAGACACTTTCTCAGACTGCTATTTGTCCATCTATTGATCTTGTCCTCCCATTTGTAGTGCTCTTTTGCTTTTGACATTTTCCCGCCAGTATGGTTTTTAAAGGTAGCCACTATGGTATAGCGGGTAGATGCTCGCCTGTAGATTAGAAGGCGGTGGGTTTGGGTCCTGATGGAGCCAGAATTGTTTTTTTTTAAAAATGACCTTGGCTCCCAGGTCGACCCAGCCTTAAGTGGGTACCATGTACAGTCCTAAGAAGTAAAGGCAGCCGGCGTGATGCTGACCATATCACACACCAAATGCCAAGTGGTTTATCAAATATAGGATTAGCCCTATATGCCCAATACGCATAAAGGCATGGAAGAGAGTCCTTTACTTTACTTTATGGTGTCAAAAAGAGTGTTATGTCTCCTAATGCAGCCAAAATATTTCAGCTGTCTCTTTTTTTATGAAATTTTTCTCAGTAACTTTTTTCATGCCAAGTCTCTCAAAGAAGCTCTGTGTTTGTCTTTGAGTCTATAAAATGAATCTGTTCTTCTGTAGATGTAAATCTCCAGAGATAGTTTTAGGTTCTGACTGCTTGTTCATTGTCTAGGTTTCTGCACAAGACAGCAGGGCTGAATATACTAAACATCTGAAATTTATTTAAATTTGTTTCTCTAGTTGTCAACAACACTCGCATCTTACTGAGGATATTTCAGCCATTCCTATGCTCTTTTTTTTATTTCAACTTCTGTTCAACTTTTACCATGATCTGTTATTACATATTTTCATGGCATTGCTATTCTATGTGCTTGGAAAAGAGTGCCAGTATTATGGCATGTTTCCATGTGCTCACAACGGCATCCACTCATAAAGTAAAAGTAAAGATCCCCTTTTCATGCCATAAGGCACATCGTGCATATGGGAAGAGCACCCATATTTTTACAGACCAATCGGCACAAGGTGGGTAATGTGGTCAGCATTACGCCGGCCGTCTTTACTTCCCGAGGACAGCCATCCTGGTACCCAATTAAGGCTGGGTCGACCTGCGACGTCCCATACCACAATAAAAATCCACCATCCACTCATAACTAACTCTTTAAAGACGGGTCGCCAGTTAACTGGCTTATGAAGTTATGCCTATCGGGCGGTCGCAGGTATACTGGCGTATCACAGAGACACTCTAATTTTTGTTTTGTTTGTGTGGAAAACGAACTTTTATGAACAAGTTTTTGAAAAATTAGGATTAACAAGATTTCTTTCGTTTGCGATGTCCTACGTCGCGTTTGCGTCACTTTATGATCTTTTTTAGAAATTATTTATTTGTGATACAATTTTTACGTGATTTTTCTATACTAAATGATAAGGGAAAATGTCTAGAAATGTTCATACTGCTCTGTCGTTGATGAATCTCTGCCCAGATGTTAACAATAGTCTTGATATTAAAATTTATATTTAAGTGACAAACCTACTGGCGATAATTTAGTTTAGGGTATAAAAACTGAACAAAATATTTAAATAGGATCATCTGTTTCGATTAGCTGTTTTCCAGATTTGCGGTTTTGTGAAATCTGACATATGATACAAAAATTATCATAACATACAAAGTATTTAAATTAACTGTTTCAGACAAAGACTAGCTGATACATAATTGGACAGAGAAGGCATGTGATTTCTTAGAATTGTATCTCAGTCTTGCTGAACAAGTAAAACAGTAAAGTAAGCACAACATGTTTTATGTAAATAATCTTCATATGTGTCTAACATCCTTGAATGTTGTGCGATTTTAATAATATTTTGTTGTAGTACTGACATTTAAGTAGTTTAGACTTATTCTATAAAATATTAGAACGAAGAGTGAGGGTGATATTAGAACCTCAATTAAGTAACAATCAGTTTGGATTTAGAAAAGGAAAGAGCTGCACTGATGCAATATTTACTCTTCGGCAAATTTGTGAACAGACAATCGAATATAATAAACACCAGAATCTTATATTCATTGATCAAGAGAAGGCTTTTGACAGGGTTAACAGAAATAAACTATGGAACATTCTTGAAGAATATGGTGTACCGGGTCAATTATTGGGAAACATAATGGCTCTTTATCAAAATAGCCAGAGCGCTGTAAGAACATCGGAAGGTATGACAGACTGGTTCCCCAATACATCAGGAGTTCGACAAGGATGTGTCATATCACCCCTACTCTTCATCACATATATGGATAAAATTGCACAGGAGTCAAACCAAAACACAGATATTTTAAATGAACTACTCTTTGCAGATGACCAATGTTTGTTACAAGAAGAAGAACAAAAACTATAACAACATGTTGATTCATTTCTCACGAACTGTACAAAATTTGACATGAAATTAAACACCTCAAAAACTGAAGTAATGACCATAGGAAAGAAACACAGTAATGTAAACATAAAGATCAATGACATACAATTAGAACAAGTTCAAGAATTCAAGTACTTAGGATGCATATTTACAGAAGATGGAAGACTCGATAAAGAGATACAAGCTATAGTTCAAAAAGCCAACGCAGTCAACTACCAACTGGCCGTCATCCAAAGATCTCGTTACCAGCCAAACAACGGATGATCAACAGCATTTTCATCCCTACGTTACGTTATCAATGCCAAACGTGGACAATGAACAAATCACATATGCAAAAAATAACTACGTGTGAAATGCGATGTCTCCGAAGAGTCATCAACAATACACGAATAGACAGAGTCACAAATGACAGCATTAGAGACACAGTTGGAACAAGAGCATGCATGAAACATATTGAAAGATAGAGAATGAAGTGGTTTGGCCATTTAGTAAGAATGCAACCGGATCAGATTGCCTATAAGGCCTTTTACAGTAGAACATCGGTAAGAAAAGCCAGAGGAAGACCCAGGAAAAAAATGGATAGATGGATCAGCTGAATACGGCCAGAAGATCCAGAAAACTGTCACTCAAATCACGCGAGAGGCTCAAAACAAATATTTCAAACCACGACACTGGGCTGCAACCCGGTAAAAGTGAAGAAGACAATAGATAGATAGATAGACTTATTCTGCACTCATTTATCTTGAATTTGATATATTATATGTCACGATACAGCCACAATTGTTTCTTCAGGAAGGTTTTAGCTTTGTGGTGTTGCAGTAAAAACATTTCGCTCAAAATTAATGCTGTCCAAACGCCAGAAAATATGTGGTCCTGATAACTAATAAATATACTGTGAAAAAACTTTGGTCAATAAACTTTACAAATGAGCCCAAACGTCTTACCCTTATTATGTCGTTAATTATGTGTTATTTTTAAGCAATTTATGACATAAGAGTTGTTAACTTTTAAAAGTTCAAGAAAAGTTTTTAATGTAACCGTTTTGGAGCTGTTCTGAGCTTGGGAGCGTACATTTTAATTTACAGTTAACAGTTTGGGAACCTTTGTCCTTAGCTCGGGAACCGTTTTTTTTTTTTTCAACATTTACAAGTCTGTTTTTTGTCTGTATAAGCACAAGTAAACGCCGACTTTTTAACGAATAAGCAAAATCCTATCCCAAGTTACCCAAGCAAACTTAGAGAGATAAATACTGTGTAGTGATGCATTCCAAGAAAACCTGCAAAAGAATAAGATCTTATTTGACATACCTGACAACATAAAATAAATATGATTAATCTTTTTACACGTATGCTTTCCAAACCCATAGTCTGCAAGACAATATGCACTCCTGGATCTCCAAACCCACTGCCTCTATCTTCTGAAAACTGCGCACAATTTGCCTAACCCCGTGATCCCTAGGGAAATAGATTGTTTACCAGTTAACACCATCAAGACGGTCGTTATCAGAACTCTGGTTCATTAAACGGCCCTGCATCGTCCCATACATCCCTGAACTGGGCCGCAGCCAAACACACTGTTCCTTCTTTTGCCCTTTTGCTTCCACAATTCAATTTACTGAACACCACACCCGCCTCGGGAATAAGCTATTTACACTTGAGCAACATGCAGACGATCGTTAACGGAGCTTTGTTTCATCACCTTCTCTTGCCTCAAACATTAGTCCGGAACTAGACGGCGCAATAGATTTATTTTCTTCTCTCAAACGCATGCCACCAGTGAACATTTTACCCGCCGATTCCACAACCATTATATCAATCAGAATAGAAATATGGTTGGGGATTATCAGCTTTAGTAAGGGGGCCTAAAGATAATCAATGCAAAGTTGTTTGCTGTTCATTATTACAAGTGGTGGTAAATAGTCCTTTCATCCACTAAGTAAGTGGGATTTATGGAAGAAGAAGAAAATATGCTGTTCATCTCTCTCTCTCTCTCTCTCTCTCTCTCTCTCTCTCTCTCTCTCTCTCTCTCTCTCTCTCTCTCTCTCTCTCTATTTATCTATCTATCTATCTATTTATCTATTTATCTATCTATTTATCTATTTATCTATTTATCTATTTATCTATTTATCTATTTATCTATTTATCTATCTATCTATCTATCTATCTATCTATCTATCTATCTATCTATCTCTCTCTCTCTCTCTCTCTCTCTCTCTCTCTCTCTCTCTCTCTATCTATCTATCTATCTATCTATCTATCTATCTATCTATCTATCTATCTATCTATCTATCTATCTATCTATCTATCTATCTATCTATCTATCTATCTATCTATCTATCTATCTATCTATCTATCTATCTATCTATCTATCTATCGATCAATCGATCGATCGATCGATCGATCGATCGATCTA